CCTTCTCTTCTCTGCTATTTGTAAGGCCTCGTTGGACAGCCACTTTGCTTTCTTGCATTTCCTTTTCTTTGGGATGGTTTTTGTTGCTGCCTCCTGTACAATATTACGAGCCTCTATCCAAAGTTCTTCAGGCACTCTGTCCACCAAATCTAGTTCCTTAAATCTGTTCTTCACTTCCACTGTGTATTCATAAGGAATTTGGTTTCAATTATACCTGACTAGCCCAGTGGTTTTCCTACTTTCTTCAGTTTAAGCTTGTATTTTATTTATTTATTTATTGGATTTTTACCCCGCCCCTCTAGACCATGTCTACTTGGGGTGGCTATAATTTTGCTATAAGAAGCTGATGATCAGAGCCACAGTCAGCTCCAGCCCCTATAATGAGAAGAACATCTTTCTTTGGTGTCAATTCTAGAAGGTGTTTTTAGTCTTCATAGAATTGGTCAATTTCTGCCTCTTCAGGTTTGGTGGTTGTTGCATAAACTTGGAGTTCGTTTATCTCTCTCGACTCCCTACTTTAGCATCTCAGTCTCCTATAATGAGAAGACCATCTTTATTTGGTGTCAGTTCTAGAAGGTGTTTTTAGTCTTCATAGAATTGGTCAATTTCTGCCTCTTCAGCTTCGGTGGTTGTTGCATAAACTTGGAGTAGTTTTTTTAAAAGTGCATTTGAAGTCCTTCCAGTCAATACAGAAAAAGGCCCACTTAAAATGAATTTTATAACGTTTAGACAAGGAAATACTTTTAGGTCAGTCCCATCACTGTAAACAGCTGAAATACTGTACTTCCAAAATTCCTTTCAGCTACAAGGGGAAAAACCAAATGTAACAAACAAACAAAACAACAAGAAATAATGGTGTTTTTTTTTTTTAAAGCCACAATTCGCTCTTTGAACAAATAATTCAATCTCTCTTCACCTACTTTGAAGCAATTCCTCTTTAATCCACACAAAAACAAAGGCATATGGTCACCCTCTAAGCACTATTTGTGAGCTTCCCAGGATAGCGGGCAAATAATGAAGGTCGAGTTTTGGTTTAGTAGTACAGTATATCATTATATTCTTCCTACTGCAAAATGTAAATAGTATGCAACAGATATAATTTTATTCAACATCAAATTATAGATGTAACAGATATACAATTATTCAACATCTTCCCACTCCAGGATTTCCATCCCATTTGAAAACAGTTTCTGCACAATTTTCCACTGAAGTCAAAATAAGTCCATTTTAGCCTGACAACTTATGAAGCAGAAGGGAAATATACAAAAGCCAGAATGGGAAGCAAAAGCTACTGAAGGTAGCTCCAAATCAACAGCTAAGCTTCACACGTAAGTTAATTTGATTTTGAGCAATGTAGGACTTCTTTCAAGGAGCACTGGCTCTCTCAAGAATAAAAGAAATTACTTCTGCCATGAAGATGTCAAGTCATGCCTTGAGGATTTTACCTTGAGATTTAGAAAACATATTCTCTGATTTTCTTGGGACTAGGAAAATGCAGTTCATGAATACAGCACAAGTAAAAAATGTAAAAAGTCAGAAATTGCTATGGAGCCAAATAATCATTGTCTTTATACATATTCTTTATAGACTACCTTAAGAACTAGGCACAATACAGTGTTTATATTTAAAAAAACTTATTTAATCTGGATATTAAGTCTGTAAAGCAAGACACATATAAATATGTGCTCCTTGCAAAGTGTCATTTAAGGATACTGATCAAAAGTGTAAAAATACAGAGGCCAAGAGCACAAGAGTACATCAAAGTCCAGTGCTGCTCTCTCTGTCAGGAGGGATTCAAGATCTGCCAGACTCTTGCCCACAAATCCAGCAACAACTTAGCAGAATATACTCATTCTTTGTTTACTGTCTGAGTCAGTGCCGCTTGAAGTTCACTTGGAGCAAAAACACCAAATTCAGTGACAATGCCCCCCGTTATCAGGTTGTGGGGGGTGACATCAAAAGCTGGATTCCAGACACCAATGCCTGGGAATAAAGAGAGAATAATCAATTGTCCTGACAATATCTAGTGCAGCTTCTCTCAAGTTGGGGCCCATCAGATACACTCAAGGGACAACAATCCCTATTATCCAAAGCTGGTATGGCTAATAATCACTGGTTCAGCTAACTCAATTTCCTACTTTTCTGCTCCCAAATGCAATATAAATAATAATTATGTGCTGCAGAGTCAATTGTGACTTACAAAGATCCTTTTCATGAGTCAATTGTAACTTACAAAGATCCTTTTCAGGCTTTTACAGGTAGAGAATACTCCGAATCGGTTTACCATTCCCTTCTTCTGGGGCGGGGGGTCATCTTGGGACTTTGCAGCTTGCCCAAGGCCACACAGGCTAGCTGTGCTCTCAGGAAGCCCAGTGGGGAATCAAATTCCCAACCTCTGACTGCGCAGCCAAATACCTAACTCACTGAGCTATCCAGCTAGTCAAATGTAATGTAGGCCTCTCCAAAGAAGAGGCATATAAAAGTGTGCACTGAGAGAATGTCCAAGCAACTGCTTGCAGAGGAATGAACGCAAAGCATTCAAGGAATATAAGATGCCAAGGTAAACAGCGTGATGAAAATTCTTATGCTTTCAGGTTCCTTGAGCAAAAGACTAGGAGCACTCTGAGGCATACAGTAAGGGCTTATGCTTTCTTCCTAATTCACGAACAATATTTCAGTCAATCATATTATTCCAGCAGGTATAGCTAACATTCATCCAAGTTTTTCAAAGGCGGAAATGCACTTTGAGAAACTTTCAATTTTATTTATTTACTTTTATCCAGAGAGGAGAGATTAGGGACTCCGTGCAGCCTTTGGTGAGTACCGGGAAGAATAATTGGCTCCCAGACCGTGACTTGTTTATATTTGCCCTGAAGTGACCTCCTGACTGAGAAAAAGTATTTATTTATTTTTATTTATTTATTTAGATTTAGACCTCACCCATTTAGTGAACATGCCACTACTCTGGCAAATGGTTTTCATCCCTCGGTGACTCTGAATTTGCAGGGCCATGAATCTGCGCTAGGGTATCTGCTCTGGAATCTGCTCTAGGCAGCACAGGATCTGTTCAAGGTCTTGAAAGTATCCCCCAAATAGTTGAAAACTATAAATAGCTCTTGCAAAGTTCAGAGTAAAAGCAAGAGTGGATTTGCTGTCCCATAAACTGAAAACTGCCAGCTTGTGATGCATTTGAGGATGCTCCAGCCACTCTTCCTTGACTTATGAATGTTCACTCTAACAAAGTAAACTGGCTGGACTATGTAGCCTGATGTATGCAGCTGTTAAATCATTGCCCTGCAAATGGAACTTGAAACGTCAGTGACTTCACACGCACATACATACATACTGTACCTGGCGCTGCAACTCGTACACCACTAATGTCTGTCAGTTCCTGGCTTGGCCGCTCCTCAATGATGATTTGACCACCATGTTCCAAACTCAGGTCACATGAGGTGCTAGGTGCTGCCACATAGAAAGGAATCCCATGGTGCTTTGCTGCAATAGCCAGCTGGTAAGTACCCACTTTGTTGGCAGTGTCTCCATTGGCCACGACCCTGTCTGCTCCCACAAAGATGGCTGGATTAAAAACAAATACATAAAAATCCTAAAGCCAGGACCCTACTTCAAGGTCATATGTCTGCCACACTCAGGCTTCCATAAGGCCAAATAAGCAGCAAATAGAGCCAAACCTGGGGCCCTGCTGTGATGTTGAACATGTGCACCATAGATCTAGGAGATCCTTGAAGGATGGCACAATACAGCTGCCAGGTTCCAGCCAATTGGGAAGAGTGTGGCTATGGAATTGTAAAGAATATGCCCACCTAGTTTTCTGCACTTGGGTTCCTTTAACATTCCTCCAAACCAAGAACGTGGAAGTTGCTTCCACATCTCAAGACGGATAAAGGAATAGTGGTGTTCATCACCTGTGGTAAATTTAGAATACCAGCAAGCTTTTGTGTAGCATGAGATACAGAAGATGTAAGAAACACAAGCAAGATGTGTTTCTCAGAATTAGAACACTGTCAGAATTAGAAGACGGGTATGTGTTCAAACTTGCTTCTCTGTACAAATGATCAGAGTCCATGCTAATTTGGAGTAGGCAGAGGAGACAAGGCTGAAAAGAGGTAGACCAGGAGACCAAATTTTCATCCCCAGCACCACCAATGGCCAAAGGTTGTGGGGAGGGGGAGGAAAATCCAGCTGCAAACTATTTTTGCTCTTGAGTTTTAAGGTTTGGGTGGGTTTTGTGGGACTGGAGAGGAGCTGCTACTCCCCCTCATGCAAAAACCACAAGGTCATGAGGATCAAAACACTATTTTTCGGCTGAAAAAACATTCAGCACAAGGGAGTCAATGGGGATCTCAAAAAACAGTCTTGGGGAATGGCTGAAAAACCATTCAGCACAAGGGAGTCAATGGGGAACTCCATGGGGATCTCAAAAAACAGTCTTGGGGAAACAGCATAGTCCAGATACTGCCCTTTTCCAATCCCTGCTCTAAAATTTTCTTTTGCTAGTTGCAAAGGTCCCTTTTGGTAATCTAGGCTTGAAATTCTGGCATCAGAGTAGATTGGCAGTAGATGGTGAACTATTGAGTTAGGTGAGAACAGGCAAACCATCTGACCTTTCTGAGCCTATAAGAGGTCAGTGCTGATGAATGGAACAGCATCTTCGCCAGCTATGCACCCACTTCCTCCCAGGCCAGCTTTTGACTCATAAGTACATACCAATCTGACACATGAGCTTCATAAGGCTTCTGGAGGCAAAGAAATATAACAGCTTCCATATGTTGAAAAAGAGTGACCCAAGAGTGGATGACAGCTATAGTGAAACACAATGGTTACATCACACTGGCTGGGGTTCCTTTTCCGAATGCTAGTAGTGCTAACTCTCTTTCAACACTCAAGATGCCCCGAGCTATGTAAGTGCCACCAACAGCTTGCAACTCAGGTGGCCAAACTACCTCCCCAATACTGGCTATTGCTAAAAGTTTGTTTACAATGTGTCTCACTAAATCCAACCACAATACTAAATTAGTGGCTTAAGAAAGAAAAATGTTAGACCGATAAGGAGATGAGTTAGTGACCAAGCAGGAGAAAGAAGAATACAAAACAAATCTTCACCTGATATCTTTTTCTCCTTCATAGCCACTGAGGCCATGCTGTCGGCAATGAGCGTGGCAGGAATCTGCTCATACACTAGCTCATAAGCAGTCAGCCGAGCTCCCTGATTATACGGCCGTGTCTCGGTGCAGTAGACGTGATCCAGGCGACCCATAGCATGCAAGGAACGAATAATACCTAATACAAAACAACATTGTAAGTCCTGACAAGACAGCACTGCACCGGATTAAAGCAGGGCATGAGGGAGTTTCTGCTATATATGGGGGAACTGGAGAATCTGTGGCTGAGTTGACAATGGATTACAACTCCCACCAGCTGTGACTAGACAGTTCATTAGCCTACCAGCCCCAAGTGGAATTATGGGAACTATACTCCAACAACAGCAACATGATTACATATTCTTCAGTTTGCCGTAACAGACAGCAATCTTTTAGTATAGCTAGAATTCCTAGCCCTTTGTCCTTAATATTACATTCATCTCCTACAAATAGATATGACTGCAAAGGTTTCTTTAACTGATTTCTTAACTTAGAGTTACATCTGTGTTTGGTCTCCTGTTTTACTGGCACAACGAATGCTATGTTGCTTTCTGTTTTTCTGCTCTAAGCCTGCCATAGGCTTTGTATGCCTCACTGAAGGCAATTGACAGATCTATGCCATTAACGGCCTGTTTGCGGATAAAGGAAAGATGACTAACAGACACATGTACATCTTCTCCTTTAATATCCTGACTCTGCAATCTCAATCTTGCAAGCAATCTGCATTTAAAAACAAAGATTATTACACCTGGACAGGTTGTTTAGACTTTTTTCTTCTTTCCCATCCTCAATATCTTACACTATCTAAGTCTGAAGAAAGCTTCTGGAAAATGTGAAAGCCTGCTTTGTTTGTAAAGTGTGTTTGTTTGTTTATATAAAGAAACAAACCTTGCAAACAAAGCAGGCTTTCACATTTTCCAGAAGCTTTCTTAAATATATATATATCTCCCCGCCCATCTAGAACGTGTCTACGCTGGGCGGTTTACATATTACATAAAAATTAAATCCAGATTGATCACAGAGTCCAAGATGGGAAAGGGAAGAAAAGAAGGAAGAGAGAGAAAAGGTGAGATAAGCTAGGTAATGGCTGTAGGGAAGGCCTGCCTATATGGCCATGTGTTCAAGTTAGTCTCAAAGGTCCTCAGCAAGGGAGCCAGGCGGATCTTTACAGGTAAGGTGTTCCAGAGGCGAGGGGCCACTGCTGAGTCGATTTCTGGTTTTTTTCCTCACTGGGCCCCTCAGCAGCCTGGCCTGACTGGAGTGGGTGATACAGGTAGAACTGGACGGAAGAAGGCGGTCTGCCAGGTATCAAGGGCCTAATAATTAAGGGCTTTGTATGTAATGGTTAGCACCTTGAAATCAATGCAGAAGCAAATAGGTAGCCAATGTAAGGCAGCCAAGGTGGGGGAAATATGGTGAAATCTTTTCACCCCTGTTAATAGCCTGGCCACCATGTTCTGGACCATCTGGAGCTTCTGCATCAGTCTCAAAGGAAGCTGCACATAGAGTGTGTTACAGTAGTCTATTCTTGAGACTACGAGCGCATGGACCAGTGTGGTGAGTACACCCGCGTCTAGATAGGGATGCAGCTGGGTGATCCACCGAACATCTAAATGGGCATACCGAACCACAGAAGCTCTGGGTCAAGTTGGACCCCCAGATTGCGAACCAAATTATTTGTAGTGAGAGTCACCCCCCCCCCAAAAAAAGAGAGGGAGTTCCCCAAACCACTGACATCGGGGCCACCCACCCGCAAGACCTCCGTCTTCTCCGGGTTCCAGCTTAGTCCATTTGACTGCATCCATTGCAAGAACGCCTCTGGGCAGCACCCAAGAACGGCATCCAATGCATATGGAAAAAAGGCAATGTACAGCTGGGTCTCATCAGCATATTGATGACATGAAGCTCCACATCCCCGGATGACCCCCCCAACAGCCTCATATAGATATTAAACAGCATTGGGGAGATGATGAACCCTGCAGGACCCCACAACTGATGGACCATGGAGCTGATACATTTTCCCCAAGCTGAACTCTCTGGTGACGGCCCTCCAAGAAGGACCAGAGCCAAGTGAGAGCAAAGCCACAATTCCCAACTTGGAGAGCCTCCCCAGGAGGATACCGTGGTCAACAGTATCAAACCCTGCAGGACCCCACAACTGATGGACCATGGAGCTGATACATTTTCCCCAAGCTGAACTCTCTGGTGACGGCCCTCCAAGAAGGACCAGAGCCAAGTGAGAGCAAAGCCACAATTCCCAACTTGGAGAGCCTCCCCAGGAGGATACCGTGGTCAACAGTATCAGAGGTGGCTGAGATATCAAGGAGGACAAGCAAGGACATTTTGCCCCTGTTGGCCTCCCTAAGTAGGTCATGCAGCAGGGTGACCAATGCCGTTTCCATGCCGTGGCACAGTCTGAAGCCTGAATGAAATGGATCCAGGGCTTGTTTCATCCAAGAGAGCCTGAAGCTGGTCGGCCACCACCCTCTCAACTACCTTGATAAGAAAAGAAACATTGGCGATGAGCATGTAATTGCCAATGTTGTTTGCCACCAAGCTCTGTTTCTTTCTAATGGGCTGAATGAGCATTTCCTTAACCTCAAAAAGAGACATATAATTGCCAATGTTGTTTGCCACCAAGTTCTGTTTCTTTCTAATGGGCCTTATGAGCATTTCCTTAACCTCAAAAAGAGACCCATTTATTATTTCAGTGGCCCATTCTGGGCTATCACCGGACTGGCAGCTTTGATTAGCCACACTGAGCAGGGAGGAGGAGGAGGCTCAGCAGCGATCAATGAGCAGGGAGGAGGAGGAGGAGGCTCAGCAGCGATCAAGGACCTTGTCCATCTCTGTGGACATCACAAGTTGAAACTGAGTAATTCTCAATGGACAAGGTGCTGCTCTGGATGTCTCTGCTCGATCCACTGTTTTCAAACAGGGTGCAATATTCCAGCTGATGGCCTCCACTTTTGATTTTTAAAATGCTGCAAACTGGTCACAAGAAAAGCTAGATGGCCAATTGTTGTGGCCAATTCCAGACAGTTCGCGTATTATATGGAAAAGTTCTGCCTGCTGATTGGATGTTTTGCTTATCCGGACAGCAAAGTAGGCTTTTCTAGCAGCCTCTACCTTAGCAAGGTAGAGGTTAGACGCGACCTTGGCAACTTTTAAGTTATTTTCCATCAGGTTCTACCTCCAAATGGATTTTTTTGTGATTAAGTAAAGATATCACTTAAGTAGGTCATCCAGCTTTTAAGTTATTTTCCTTTGGCTTATGCCTCCAGATGGATTTTTTGTGATTAAATAAAGAACAAACCTATCCATTTTGAAGGAAATCATCCCCGAGTGCTCACTGGAAGGCCAGATCCTGAAGCTGAGGCTCCAATATTTTGGCCATCTCATGAGAAGACTCCCTGCAAAAGACCCTGATTTGGGGAAAGCGTGAAGGCAAGAGGAGAAGGTGACGACAGAAGACGAGATGGTTGGAGAGTGTCACCGAAGCTACCAACATGAATTTGACCAAACTCTGGGAGGCAGTGGAAGACAGGAGGGCCTGGCGTGCTCCGGTTCATGGGGTCATGAAGAGTCGGACATGACTTAACGACTAAACAACAACAAAGATATCACTTAACCCAGATTTCTATTTCTACTCAATGAATCACACACCTTCTTGTATCAATTAGTCTCAATGGAAAAATAGTGAAGAACCTTCCGACAGTTGGAATGGGCAGCCAGGAGTCCCCAGAAGGATTTTGTACTTCAGGATAGTGCTTCCTGGATGCACAGAGATGTCACTTACCAAGTGCAGTGCCATAGCCAGCAGTGGCCAGAGACCCTGTGTTGCAGTGAGTCAGGACTATCACTTTGTCCTGCCTGACTTGCTGCAGGAGGTGGTGAGCTCCGTGGTCCCCAATGTTTCTGTTGTCTTTCAGGTCTTTATCCAACATGGCTTCTGCCCAGTTGATCACACTGTGATGAGAGGTAACACCAACTATAATATGTGGAAGGACAGTAAGTGGGAATGCAGTGAAAAGGTGTTGGGGACTCACCTTTCACACAAGCTTTTGGCAGTAGCCCCTTCGCGCTTGGCTTCTTGCTGGACAAAACAGCCAAGTTCCTGAGCTGCCCGGGCCATATTGACTGCAGTTGGCCGAGCACTTACTAGGTAGTTCAGTGAGTCTAACACAAATCTTTCCAAGTTGCCCACACTCTCTTCTGCACTTCTTTTATCATGTAGCTCAACTGCCAAACTCAGGCAGCCCACAATGGCAATGGCTGGAGCACCCCGCACCTGAAAGACAGGCCTCTCCTTTAGGGTTATGCATAGCCAAGTTTGGAAGCGACAAATTGCAACGAACATAATTACTTTTAATAAGTTAGCTCTTTTTCATTTGATAACAGTAGCGTAATATTTTACATTTTTAAAAAATAACACAAAAAGTAGGAAAAAGGCACTTTGTTGGTCTAATATGTACCATTTTCAAAGTACTTTTAAAAGTTACTTTTCAAAGGTTCTTCAATACTTGTATCTATAAATTTAATAGTTTATTTTAAAAGGTATTTTGACAGGAATTTTTCAAGTTTTATAACCTTATTTCACCAATCCTATTTTTTAAAAAATAAAAGGAACAGACAATTAACAAAAACAAACAAAAAGACAAAAGCAGTATTGTGGCATCCTTAAAACTAACAGATGTATTTCAGTATGCGATTATTTGAATCACAATTCACTTCAGATACAAGTGGATTGTAATCCCTGAAACTTCACATTGATTTGTTAGTCTTAAAGTCATCACAACACTTTTTTTTCATTGTTGTTCTGTTTTTGCAAAATGCACTAACATCTCTCTCTTTGAAAACAGTAATAATCAGTGTATTAAGTCATAAAACAACCTACTGAGATTTACTTTTGAAACACTGTTGTAATTAATGGGAATGCACCCTATTTCAAAATGTATGTCTTCAAATTCTGGTGTGAAGAAGATCTAACTTCCACTTCTGACTTTTTTCTTTTAAAAAAAATGCCAAAAGAAATGTATAGAGAAATACTTGTGAAAGCAAAGAGTGAGGGAGGCTCATCACCAAATTCTTCAGAATAATTGATAACTTCACTTTGCCTCCCTGAAACATGCTCAGCCCACAGAGGAATGTGTGTGTGAGGGAAAGAGATTCAAGTAATGGCAGGGGAGTGAACTGTGTTAATCTTACTTAGGCTTCTGAGAAAATCATTCAGCTTTTGGTTGTGGTTGTCCTTCCTTATATTGTGAAAACAACCAATCATTTCTGGATGGATATCTCAATAAATACATCAAATTGAAAACTGATTTTTATTTTACTCTTTCCCCTAGGCTGAGGGCTGATTTCAATCATGTGCTGGTCATGCTAACCAGCTCTTAAAGTTGTTGTTGTGACATGTTGGAAAGCCACCTCCAACTTACGGCAACCCTATGAACGAGCCATTCCTGCTTAGTTCTTGTAAACTCAAGCCTGCAGCTTCCTTTAAGGAGTCAGTCCATCTTGTATTCAGCCTTCCTCTTTTTTGTTTGGAGGCAACTTGACAGCAGATAGCAACAACAACATTCTGCTTTAACTGGAAAGGATCAATCTGAACTGTTCTTTAACATCTCAAACCAGTTGAAAAGAGAAATCAGCCATATTTTGCATCACGTTCTAGTACGCTGTAACTTCACATTCACCTGGACAACATCCCAGCTCCAATTTATAAGCCTACCTGTAAAAGCCATTAGGCCGATCTGCATGAGGGACGGGGCCTTCACAGCACTGCCCCCACCTATGGAACCATTTCAAGCAATGATCCTCCAAGCCCTACCAGTACAGACATTCAAGCAGGCCCTCAAGACTCATCCATCTAGTCTGCTCCATACAACCAAGCCAGGACTCTACTAGGGGTGTCATAATACAGGGCTAGCTAGTTGCAACCATTAATTTTGATTTGATCATTGTGTTACATATATCACTGTTTATATCTTTTTATTTTGTTGCACACCACCTCTTAAAAGTGGCTTATAGATATTTCAAATAAGACATGGACACTCATTTCTGACTTGAGTTTGTCTCTCAGAGCTATTTAAAATCTGCTTATTGATTGAAAAATCTATCCAACCCCTGCCTCTTTCAATCCTTTCCAGCAGAATATGGCCAGTGGCCAATACCTCTCCACCCAACAAACAGCCATTAAAAGACTGGAAGCAGGGCAATTGGGAGGGGGTGTGTGTATGGGAAGTTTTCCATCCTTGTGCTCTCCACCTTAGAGGTGGTCTCTCATACTGACGTTGGACA